AATTGCTCTCTTGGCCTACAAAATTGATACAATCATTTTCACAAATGACCATGAGATTATCGGTAATAACCGCCGTTGTATCTTCTTGCTTCTTATCTATACTTTTGTCACACATTTTCTCCTTGTTCTTGAGCTTTCAACATTCTCGTTTCATGTACCCTGTTTCATGGCAATAATAGTTTCTAATGGCAATTATAGCACTCAATTTCTTTCTTTGAAAAAGAACCATCTCTTGATTTGTCACGGCTTTGATCACAACCATGAGGAGTCTTACTCCTTCCCCTTATTTTGCTTTAGCCTCTCACTGCAAATGCTTTTAAATGAGAGGAACCCGCTGATTTTCTTCTAGTTTTTTCATTCAACAAGTTACTAGTGACTTGGCTCATTGTGACAATTCCATCGGGTGCCGAATTACTAATCATTATAACCAAAGTCTTCCAACCTTCGGGTAGAGAAGTAAGTAGCATCAAAGCCTACAATTTATCATCAAAAACAATTTTCATAGAAGCAAGTTGGTTAACAATACTCTTTATTTCATTCAGATGTTCCGGAATAGGGCTGCCCTCTTTATATTTTAAATTAACCAACTTACGAAACAAAAAGGCTTTATTTGTGGCTGATTTTCTATCATAAAGGCTCTCTAATTTTTTCCATAAATCATGTGCTGAAGTTTCAGTAGCAACATGATGAAACACACTGTCATCAATCCATTGACGTAAGTTAAATCTCTTTGGTGAGATTTCGAGTGTCACCTAATTTATTAAATATTATTGAAATTATTCTAAGGGTTGTAATTTAAGTTAAATCTCTTTGGTGAGATTTCGAGTGTCACCTAATTTACTAAAATTATTGAAATTATTCTAATGGTTGTAATTTATGTTTACAATTATATTGTTATCTCATGTTTAGAACCTCATTATTTTTCTCTTAAAAAAATGGTAGGTTGGCTATGTTTTCTTACTGTGTTGCAAAACTCATGGCATATATTTTTGTTGCCCTGGCGTTTCATGCCAGGTTTTAGCGAGGAAATAATTGAAGCTGAAATGGAGTTGACGCTAACGTAGAGCCTTGGCTGACTTGAAATCATAGCAAAATTCGAATAACTTTATTATCCTATATATTAGCTATTAAAGACCTTATAATTTCATTGATGTTGTATTTGGATAATGTTAAGTTTTTATTTAATGTTATTTGAACCTTTGGTTATGTACGAGAGTTGGAATGCCCTATTAAGATGTCAACTTTTTAGTTTATTAAGTTATTTTGTTTATTTAATTTCCCTTGATGTTTCAAAAAAGAAAATTTGGGGCGTCACAGACAATTCCATCGGGTGCCGAATTATTAATCGTTATAACCAAAGTCTTCCAACCTTCGGGTAGAGAAGTAAGTAGCATCAAAGCCTACAATTTATCATCAAAAACAATTTTCATAGAAGCAAGTTGGTTAACAATACTCTTCATTTCATTCAAATGTTCCAGAATAGGGCTGTCATTTTTATATTTTAAATTAACCAACCTTCGAAACAGAAAGGTTTTATTTGTGGCTGATTTTTTGTCATAAAAGCCTTCTAATTTTTTCCATAAATCATGTGTTGAAGTTTCAGTAGCAACATGATGAAACATACTGTCATCAATTCATTGACGAATAACACCAATGACTTTTCGATTAAGCCTCATCCATTCATCATCTTTCATACCCTCGGGTTTTCCACTATCACCCTCAATAGGCCCACGCAAATCTTTACAAAATAATAGGTCCTCCATTTTAGTTTTCCAAGTTACCCAATTGCTTCTATTGAAGCTAGACATACGACCCACATTTCCCTCCATTGATTTACACAAATAAATAAACCCAAATAAACTGTAAGCTCTGATACCAGTTGTTAGAGAAAATATATGATTTTCCACAGGTAAATCAATCAATAGGAATAAAAACCAATACGGAAAAATTAAATCACCAATGGCACAGGAATTTTACGTGGTTCCCTCAATGTGAGGTACGTCTACGGGATCGAAATTCGATTCCACTATCAACCAAAGAGTTTCCAAACGGTTACAAATGAGGCACGAATGGTCTCACAAAGCCACCCTTAGGTAAATTCCAAATAATCACAAATAAACAAGAGAAAAGGCTTCACCAAATAGACGAACAAAAGTCTTCGAAATAGAGTTGAAGAAGACCCAAAATAATAACCCAAATCAACACCTTCTAAGTTGAAGTTGTCAACAACAAAGCTCCAAACTGTGCTTCGAGAACAAAACCCACCGAATTGATCAAGCACCATCTCACCAAATATGAATCAGCAGCCACACTATTGCTTGTTTATCAACACATGAACACCACCAAAAATAATGTTGCTACTACTCTACCAAAAGCAACTGCTCTTTTTGGAAGAAACAATATATATATATATTATTAATTCTTGAGCTTTTTAACCCTAGTTACTACCAAATTGATTATAAAATACCTATTGGGCCTCCAAAAGTTGGGTATAATATATTAAAAATAATTATAACCAACACCAAACCAAACTAAATATCTAATAAATCAATTGGGTCTCATACTCCAAGAAGGAAGTATACCCAACAACTCAGGTAATTCCTAAACTGGTGTCTGCAACTAAGCATAACAAGCACTACCAATCCTTATTTTATCGGCTTATAACTAGAAGGCACGTGGTACCTACTCTGCATGTGTTTTCGGTTTTTCACCCTGGACACTCAGACCAACTTAAATAATATCATATTACACCCCTTATCTGGACTTACCAAATGTATTTACCCAAAACATTTCCAAGGTCATCAATTGTTTTCTCAAAGACAATAAATCAATTTCCAACCATAGCCATAATATTAAATATCAAAAACTATGCAAGTGAATGAAATGCTAATGCAATCTATGTTTATATGCACTACAAGAATTTTCACTTTTGGCAACTAAATTTTTAGTCGCCAAAAGTTAACTTTTAGTCACCGAATGGTTTTAGCGACTAAATTATTTGGTCGCAAAAGTAGTCTCCAAAAAATTATTGGTAAAGGTAATCAGAGACTAAAATTATTTTAGTCGCCATATGTATACAATTCCCGACTAAAATTTTAGTCGCCAAAAGGTTGGACATTAAATTAAATTAGACCCTTTTCGGCGAACAAACTTTTAGTCGCCTAAAGTTCCACATTTTTAGCTATTAAAATTTTAGTCGACAAAGAGTTCTTCTTTTGGCTACTAAAAATTTAGTCGCCAAAAGTCCCACATCTTTGGCTACTAAATTTTTAGTCGGCAAAAGTTTTTTATCCTTTAGTTTTTTGTTTTTAGTTACGTAATATTTTAGTCGCCAAATGTTTGATTTTCTTTTGGCTATTAAACTTTTAATCGCTAAATGTCTTTTTTTTTTTTTTTTTTGGCTACATTGGCTACAAAACTTTAAGTCGCCAAATTTCTTTTTTTTTTGCTACAAAACTTTTAGTCGCCAAATGTTTTTTCCTAATTTCTTTTTAGCTACTAATTGCTTAGTCGCCAAAAACAAGATATTATGTTTTATCGCGAAATTATAATTTCTCCACAACCTGTCTATATACAATGCAACCTGTAATACGTATAAAAAAAAAATGATACATACTATCAATCATTCCACAATCTGCATCCATATACCAAAAATAAATAACATTAAATATCAAAGTCTATACAAATCAACTATTGTCCAAACTAAAACAATAATTCCATACAAAATATATCATACAAAAATCAAAGCCCTCCGTATACAAAAAATACATTTACTACCAAGCGAAATTATCATTTGGCATGGTACAAATTACCATCGTAATCTATACGACAACAAAAGGTGATATATGTACCACGACAAAAGTTTTCTATAGACTATGACAAAATGTCCTATATGGACGCCGACAAATGGTATATATGTACCACGACAGAAGGTGATCTATGTACCACGACAGTCATTATCTGTTGATTGCCAAAAGTTTTCTGTATCCTATTTGTAAATATCCTACATATTGAAAAAAGAAAAAGAAAAAGAAAAAGAAAAAGAAAAAAATGTGTAACTTTTGGATATATGTTTCACTACAAGAATTTTCACTTTTGGCAACTGCATATTTAGTCGCCAATGGCTTTTAGCGACTAAATTATTTGGTTGCAGGATTAGTCGCTGAAGAATTGTCGGCAAAGGTAATTGGCAACTAAAATTATTTTAGTAGCCAAATGTATTCAATTGCCGACAAAATTTTTTGTCGCCAAAAGGTTGGAAATAAAATTAAATAGCACATTTTCGGCTACTAAAGGTTTAGTCGCCTAAAGTGTTATGTTTTTGGCTACTAAAATTTTAGTCAGCAAATAGTTTCTGTTTTGGCTACTAATATTTTAGTTGGCAAAAGTGTTATGCTTTTTGCTACTAAAATTTTAGTCGGCAAATAGTTTGTGTTTTGGATACTAATATTTTAGTCGGCAAAAATGTTATGTTTTTTACTACTAAATTTTTAGTAGGCAAAAGTTTTTTATTCTTCAGCTTTTGTTTTTAACTACGAAATATTTTAGTCACCAAATGTTTGATTTTTTTTTTTTGCTACAAAATTTTTAGTTGTCAAATGTTTGATTTTTTTTTTTGCTACAAAACGTTTGGTCGCCAAATGTTTTATTTTTCTTTTCGCTACAAAGCATTTAGTCGCCAAATGATGATTTTTTTTTTTTTATAACCGAAAACTTTTAGTCGGTCAAACTATTTTCCCAATTTCTTTTTAGCTACTAATTATTTAGTCACCAAAAACATGATTTTATGTTTTATTACAAAATTATAATTTCTCCACAACCTGTCTATATTCCATGCAACCTGTAGTATGTATGTAAACAAAATAATACGTATACTATCAATCATTCCACAATCTGTATCCGTATACAAAAAATGAATAACTTTAAATGTAAGAATCCATACAAATCAACTATTGTCCAAACTAAAATAATAATTCCATACAAAATATATCATACAAAAATCAAAGCCCTCCGTATACAAAAAATACATTTACTACCAAGCGAAATTATCATTTGGCATGGTACAAATTACCATCGTAATCTATACGACAACAAAAGGTGATATATGTACCACGACAAAAGTTTTCTATAGACTATGACAAAATGTCCTATATGTACGCCGACAAATGGTATATATGTACCACGACAGAAGGTGATCTATGTACCATGACAGTCATTATCTGTTGATTGCCAAAAGTTTTCTGTATTAGTAATAATGAACTACACAAAAGTTGAGGACGACAAAAGTTTTATATTAGTTCTACACAAAAGTGAAAATTCTTCTCCATACACCAATATGGATTATCCATAAGTCTATGCAACAAAGCCATCTACAAAGAAAAACAAAAAATGAAACATTAGAATTGGTTACAAAATATCAAGTCAGTAAGCCATATAGAACATGTTCTAACATGCATTTAAGGTAGAACAATCGAGAAATGTCTTCTTGGAAATAAAAGAAAGTATATATATATATATGTGTGTGTGTGTGTGTATCATGCAATATTTATTCCAACTAACTGTACAAACAATGTAATATGTAATTTCTTTATCCTATAAATATATAAAGGCAATTATTAGAATATGTAGATGTTATTTTCATAAAGTTGTCGCTTTTTAACTCCCAACCTATGGGTGCGGATTACATTTCGTCAGTTGTCACAAGTCTTATTTGTCATGGGGGAACTGTCTGTGTGAGTCACACGGTCGTTTGGGACTGTTTTGAATTTTTGCCCCAAAAAGCCCTTTTCCGACTACGTTTAGAGCGTATTCTTGGGACTGTTTTGAATTTTTGCCCCAAAAAGCCCTTTTCCGACTACGTTTAGAGCGTATTCGGCTCTAACTCCCAACCTATGGGTCCAAATTACGTTTTTTCAGTTCTCACAAGTCCAATTTGTCATGGCGAAGCTATCCGTGTGAGCCACACGGTCGTTTGGGGGCTGTTATGAATTTTTTCCACCGGAAAGCTCTTTTTCGAGTGAGTTTAAGGCGTATTCCACTATGACTCTCTACCTACGGGTCCGAATTACGTTCCATCAGTTGTCACAAGTCTTATTTGTCATGAAAAAGCTATCCGTGAGAGTCACACAGTCGTTCGAGGGCTGTTTAGAATTTTCACCCTCGAAACACCCTTTTTCGACTAAGTTTAGGACGTATTCGGCTCTAACTCTCTACCTATGGGTCCGAATTACATTTCGTCAGTTGTCATAAGTCCTATTTGTCATGGGAAAGCTGTCTGTGAGAGTCACACGGTTGTTCAGGGGCTGTTTAGAATTTTCGCCCTCGAAACGTCCTTTTTAAACAAAGTTTAGGACATATTCGGCTCTAAGTCTCTACCTATGGGTCCGAATTACGTTCCGTCAATTCTCACAAGTCCTATTTATCATGTTGAAGCTATCCGTGTGAGCCACATGGTCGTTCAAGACTGTTTTGAATTTTCGCCCCCAAAACGCTTTTTTCCGACTACGTTTAAAGCGTATTCGGCTCTAACTCCCAACCTAGGGGTCCAAATTACGTTCCATCAGTTCTCACAAGTCCAATTTGTCATGGCGAAGCTATCCGTGTGATTCACACGATCATTCGGGGGCTGTTATGAATTTTTGCCCCCGAAAAGCTCTTTTTCGAGTAAGTTTAAGGCATATTCCACTCTCTACCTACAGGTCCGAATTACGTTCCGTCAGTTGTCACAAGTCTTATTTGTCATGGAGAAGCTGTCCGTGAGAGTCACACAATCGTTTGGGGGCTGTTTAGAATTTTCGCCGCCAAAATGCCCTTTTTCGACTAAGTTTAGGACATATTCGGCTCTAACTCTCTACCTATGGGTCCGAATTACGTTCCATCAGTTGCCACAAGTCCTATTTGTCATGGGGAAACTGTCCGTGATAGTCACACGGTCGTTCGGGGGCTGTTTAGAATTTTTGCCTCTGAAACGCCCTTTTTCGACTAAGTTTAGGACTTATTCGGCTCTAACTGTCTACCTATGGGTCTGAATTACGTTTCATCAGTTGTCATGAGTCCTATTAGTCATGGAAAATCTGTCTGTGAGAGTCACACGGTCATTCAGGGACTGTTTAGAATTTTCGTCCCCGAAACGCCCTTTTTCGACTAAGTTTAAGGCATATTCGGCTCTAACTCTCTACCTGTAGGCCCGAATTACGTTCCGTCAGTTGTCACAAGTCCTATTTGTCATGGGAAAGCTAGCCATGAGAGTCACAAGGTCGTTCAGGGGCTGTTTAAAATTCTCACCCCTGAAATGCCCTTTTTCTACTAAGTTTAGGACATATTCGGCTCTAACTCTCTACCTATGGGTCCGAATTACGTTCCGTCAATTGTCACAAGTCCTATTTGTAATAGGGAAGCTGTCTATGAGAGTCACACAGTCATTCGAGGGCTGTTTAGAATTTTTTTCCCCGAAATGCCCTTTTTCAACTAAGTTTAGGACGTATTCGGCTCTAAGTCTCTACCTATGGGTCCGAATTACGTTCTGTCTATTGTCACAAGTCCTATTTGTCATGGAAAGCTTTTTGTGGCAGTCACACGGTCATTCGGGTGCTGTTTAGAATTTGGGTGCTGTTTAGAATTTTCGCCCCTGAAACGCCCTTTTTCAACTAAGTTTAGGACATATTCAGCTCTAACTCTCTACCTATGGGTTCGAATTACGTTCCGTCATTTGCCACAAGTCCTGTTTGTCATGAGGAAGCTGTCCGTGACAGTCACACGGTTGTTTGGGGGCTGTTTAGAATTTTCGCCTTCTTAACGCCATTGTTTGAATAAATTTTAATAAAGAAAGCTACATAGGTTTGTCTCTAGGTATCCAATTCCTTTAATTTAACCTGATATCCAAGTACATTTCAAAATATTCCTATTTCTTAACAAATTTCATTTATTTTCTAGAATAGAATGGTATGCACAATATGCCATAAAGCATTTTATTCATATTTTTTGTATAGTTCTATCGGAAAGATAGAAAAACTTCTTAACCAGTCCGAGAAAATCCTACAAGACCAAAGCCACATTTATAAGGAAACTACTATATCTAACCATCACTAACAGGTAACTATCTTGTTGAATTCATAATTAATTTTCTTTTAAGGTTAGTATATCATACTAGATTGCATTGCAACATATCAATAAACCCATGATGAAGCTTGTTACAAAGTTCTATAGATCTATGAGTTGCTAAATTGATCACCTTCTATAGATCCTAACAAGAAGGAAATGAAATTTAAGATTTGATTGATCAGAGGAGCTTACTAGTGTTATGTCAAACTGTTCACCATAGCTCCCCAAGACAAAGATGTGCTCAACTTTGGTCTCATTTTTCAACTTGAGAAAAGGCTGCAGGCAAACAAAGTTCTCAACAACCTTGATATAAGAAGCAACATTATTAAAGAGACAAACCAAAGTCAAAGTACAAACTTGAAGTGGTTCAGATGGATGCCCAAGTGGAGTGGTCAATTGAAATGATAAACGCAGCTTCTGTAGATGGTTTGCTGATAACGAAAGAGCAGTCTCTCTAGCTAAATCTAGCCTGAAGAAAAAACATAGCATGATGCAAATTTTAATCTGTTGAAGTAAAAAAATATAATGAATAACAACATTAATACAGAAAAATAACACATAAAGATCAATAAGTTGTACTTATTTTGATTGTAATAGAAGCATTTTTTCACACCAAATATCACATTTGAAGTTTGAAAAGTCTTAATCACAAACCTCAAAAAAAATCAGTAGGGAGAGGAAAAACATGGGGATCTTTAGATCAGTAGGAAATGACAATAATAAATACAATTACCTCAAATACAAAAACAAAATTGCCTACGTTAACACTCTTTGACCATGCATCCAAGAAATGGACATCATTTTCTTGATCAAACTTGAGTTCTTGCATCAAGGCAATTGATGTAATAGAAGCATTTTTTCACATCAAATATCACATTCGAAGTTTGAAAAGTCTTAATCACAAACCTAAAAAAAAATCAGTAGGGAGACGAAAAACATGGGGATCTTTAGATCAGTAGGAAATGACAATAATAAATACAATTACCTCAAATACAAAAACAAAATTGCCTACGTTAACACTCTTTGACCATGCATCCAAGAAATGGACATCATTTTCTTGATCAAACTTGAGTTCTTGCATCAAGGCAATTGACAAGATCATTTGGATACAAGTTAGGCAAATTATGGTCATGAGCATCTGATAAAAAACAAAAGAGTCACGCGCAGCTCCTGGCTCTTAATTATAAAAGCATCCTTTGAACCAAAACTGAAAGCTTGCTTGAGTTTTACTGATAGAGACGGCGTTGCAGATCCCAGTATAGTATTCACCCCAACCTGATAAGCAGCACAATATTATACTGATCAGTATTTAGCTATATAAGCTAAACTTTAAACTACATCTTGGGAGTGGTAGATCAAAACTTGAGAGCTAAGAGTTAAAAGCCACTTAATGGAACTCAACTACCTCGGGAGAAGAGGGTTATCTATGAATGGGGGGCTGACTATGCACATTACCAGATTAAAGACGTCCAGATATCAAGAAGCCTGGACATGACTGACCCTTTTTTAAGGATCTAGCAATGTATGCGACGGTCTCTCTCGCCAATGGCCAACAATGATGGTGAGCGGGGTGAGGCTTGGTAGTGTCGAAAGAGAGCGAAATTTGTTTGAGACAATGTATATCGTGTGTGTGTGTGTGTTTGTGTTTGTGTGTGTGTGTGTGTGTGTGTGTGAGACAGACATACCAGGTGCCACTATTCAAAACTTAACAAGGCACATATGATGATATGTATGGATATTCATCATTTTATTATTATTTTATTTTTTTTAAGTGTAATATTTTGAGCATGATGAGCCTTGCCTTGGATGGTAATATTCAAAGTCAAAAGCAATAGATGAAGTGGAACTGAACAGTGTTATTTTTAGGCATGTATCGCATTCAAAGACATTTATTAACACCACAGAATGTGCTATATCAACATATTAACCATGCTGCCCTTATATTATATCAATTTTTATCAATTTTTAATAATACATATATGGATACATATATGTATACATATAACTTAGGTACAAACTCCTTAGTTTAAAACTCACAACTTAAAAATTTATACGATGAGCTTTAATCATACTTTGTAATTTCTAAATTATTAAATATACAACTTATAACAAAGTAAAAAGGGAAAAAAATATTCATCTAATTAATCTCACCTAATAGTTTTGTTTAGTAATTTTTTTTTCTTGGTTGATAATTCAGGATATTTTGTGCCCAGTCCAGCCTAGTCTAATTGGATTCAAATTACCTCATATTTGGACAATCGATAACTAATTACTAGAAACCCTAAAATTAAGAATCGGACAAACCTCTAATGACATCATGAGAGATTCAAACTCAAGTTCAAGTATTTACAGTTCACCCAGCCTCTTGATTAGTTCTAGATAAGAATTCCTTTATTAACTTGACATTTTCTCTATTCCTTTGATCTTATACAAAAATTTCACAACTAGCTTAATATAAGACTTAGAAACTTCTCACATTATAACTAATGACATTTCATTATTCTTGTTTTGGCTTAAAAGGCTTTAGTATATATATTTTAAGTTTACATTTGTCATGAAAATTTAATATCTTTATATTTTAAGAAGCATGGTTGTGGTGGTTATTTATGACTCTACAGTCATCTTGTTAATGTAGCTAAATTCTTTAAGCATTGTTCAACTTTTATAAATAGAACATAAGAATAAAAAGGAGTGTGAGGAAGTCACAATAGACTATATAGTCCTAGCTAACATATTGAACATTTTTCATTAAAATAAAGTTTTATATCCATTATTTTTTATACAATCATAAATTTTTATTCTCATCTCATGATTTCAAATTCATTTGAAAAATTATATTTATAATCTTTGCGTTTTGCTCATTGTGTAATTTTAGTATCTGTAATTTCAATTAGATCGATTTTGACCATTAATTTTAAATTTTGTGTCAATTTTGATCAAATTAATAACACCGATTACATTTTAATCAATCAAAAAACACTAACAACTTAATCAATGAAACAAAATCATGAATCCTGAGTCAATTGAGCCAATTGAAATTATAAAGACTGAAATTATAAATACCAAAATGACATAAGGACTGAAATATAAAAATATCAACATAATTTACACAATTAGGTATTATTATAACTTTAGAGGAATGCTCAAATATTTCATCAATATACTTGAGATGAATATAAAACTATTATTTTCATGTGCTTTTACCTATCCTAATCCTAATTTAATATGCATTAACATATCAATGCGTATATTTAAAGTGTTTTTGAATAAAAAACTTGTAGGAAGAGTTGGATTAAAGATTTGAAGAAGAATTTGGAAGGCAAGGAAAACAAAAAAACAAATTTGACAGAAGTATCCCACTAATCTAACTCTTAATATTTGGGAGGCCAGGAAAACTAAAAAGCATATTTTCTCATGCCTACGCTAAATGGTTTTCATTTTTTATTAATCAAGAATAGGATGGTAGAATTTGTAAAAATCTGCTAGTGGATCAACAAATTAGCAAAGCAAATGCAATTAAGCTGTATGGTGTCAAATATTCCCAATGCCAAAAACAAGGATTCCGAAAATGTTTGCTTTGGGTTTTGAATTGCCACCACCAGCCGTACCTCAAGGGAGGAGGCAGAGGGGAATTGGTAATTCAATATTAATATGTGTGGTATGGTGGTGTAGCAGAATCTTGTGCTTTAAGGTACAATGACACCACTTATAAAGGAATTGACAAATACCACATGTATAATGTCAAACAAACCTCTCAACCCTCACAATTCCTTCCATTCCATTCTTTTCCATAGCCTACAAAGCTGCTAGACTATCAGATGCCACTATATTGACTCCATTTCCATGAAACATCTATATATATAGAGAGAGAGAGAGAGAGAGAAAACATACATGATATGGAGCATCAATGGAGTCTCTTCTCAGCGATGAAGCCTTTGGATCTCGCGGCGGTGGTGGTGGATCTGTGAAGATCGGTAGAAGAGGGGGAGGCGACGGCGTGAAAAGAGGGTAGCGACGGAGATGGTAGCGGCGACAGTGGTGATCGTAGCAGTCACGATGGCGATGGCGGAGGAGAAGGAGGTGCTCCAGTTGCCGGCGAACGTGAGGAGGAGCGACGGCGGAATGGCGACGCAGCAGGACTCAACCCTTCATCTTTTCTTTTTCTCTTCACTTACCCTAATATTTTATTGGTGAGGTATTGATCTCTATTCGTTGGTTCTTCAAGTGATCTTAGCCATTCGTTTTACATCCTTGTTAACTTATTTTCCCCGACTAAAATGTAGCTTCGTCGTTAATTAAGTAAGGACCCCGCCAAAAATTCAAAATCTTTCTTTAAAAATTTTAATTACAATTGACGATTAAACATTTTAGTAGGAAAAAGTCAGCTAAAGGCGACTAAAATAATTTTTTTGTCACTGAAAGTAAGTTTTTAGTCGCCAAGAGAAAAAATAATTTTTTTATTTTTCATTCGGCGACTAAATATTTTAGTAGCCAAAAAATCAATATACGACGACTAATTTTTTTTTTTGTCGCTGAAAGTAAGTTTAGTCACCAAAGAGAAAAAATAATTTTTTTATTTTTCATTCGGCGACTAACTCTTCTCAGCGATGAAGCCTCTGGATCTCGCGGCGGTGGCGGTGGATCTGTGAAGATCGGTAGAAGAGGGGGAGGCGACGGCGTGAAAAGAGGGTAGCGACGGAGATGGTAGCGGCGGCAGTGGTGATCGTAGCAGTCACGATGGCGATGGCGGAGGAGAAGGAGGTGCTCTGGTTGCCGGCGAACGTGAGGAGGAGCGACGGCGGAATGGCGACGCAGCGGGACTCAACCCTTCATCTTTTCTTCTTCTCTTCACTTACCCTAATATTTTATTGGTGAGGTATTGATCTCTATTTGTTGGTTCTTCAAGTGATCTTAGCCATTCGTTTTACATCCTTGTTAACTTATTTTCCCCGACTAAAATGTAGCTTCGTCGTTAATTAAGTAAGGACCCCGCCAAAAATTCAAAATCTTTCTTTAAAAATTTTAATTACAATTGACGATTAAACATTTTAGTAGGAAAAAGTCAGCTAAAGGCGACTAAAATAATTTTTTTGTCACTGAAAGTAAGTTTTTAGTCGCCAAGAGAAAAAATAATTTTTTTATTTTTCATTCGGCGACTAAGTATTTTAGTAGCCAAAAATCAATATACGACAACTAAATTTTTTTTTGTCGCTGGAAGTAAGTTTAGTCACCAAAGAGAAAAAATAATTTTTTTATTTTCCATTTGGCGACTAAATATTTTAGTAGCCAAAAGTCAATATATAGCAACTAAGTTTTTTTTTTCGCCAATTCTGGAATTTTTAGTGACTAATTTTTTTTTTAGTCGCCAATAATGAATATACCCCAACTAAAAAACATTAGTAGCTAAATATTTTACTTTTGGCGACTAAAAAAATGTTGGTCGCCAATTCCATAACTTTTGGCGACTAAATTTTTTTTAGTCGCCAATTTTGGTCGCCAAAGGTGCATTTTGTTGCAGTGATGTCTCGATATACAAGGTTTCCACGATACTCAACATTTCCTTACTATAAAACAACTAACATTTTCCACATATATCATACATGTGACATATGACACATTTCATATTCACAATTAACATTCGTTTTTCCTTTCATAGTCCAAGCATATATAAAATCATGCTAACCATATAAATTTCTCAACAACAAAACTCATCCATCCTATGGATATCTTAATTAACACAACAATATGTGAAATTTTATCATTTTCCTAAACAAATTTTCAACAATTGCATAAATCTTTCACAAAATCCACTTTCCCTAATTTCCCAAAAATCTAGGGTTTGATCACAAAGAGGGTTTTTCTCATTTTCAATGATATTTTTTCTCTATGCACTCCGAAGAGGCTCATAAGTTTACAAAACAAATTTATTTGGACAATATCACAAGAGAATCACCTTTTCAACATTTTCAAAACTCAACACCTCAAATCTCAAACCCCCTACTCAATAATCATATCATAATAAGTGAGGACATACTAAAACCATATATATATGACTTAAAGAAACTCCCTATCACAAGTTTTAGTGAGAAAAGATAAGAAAAGCTCCAATTTTAATGGTGTTGTAGCTTGCTTTTCGTGCTTCTTTCGGATACGACTAGCCCTAATATTCAGACTCCCGTGGTTCTGAATCTGATATCACAAGTGCAATGTGAAATAGTGAAAACACAAAAAGAGTCCAAATCCAACAATTCTTTTGGAAAATCAATTTGAATCAAAAATGCCAAAAAGGGATTACATTACCAGATTTCAAAGTCGCCACCTAAATATTTTTGAGAAATTTAGGAAAACCATGACTCGTGCCAAAGGCCACTTATCCGTCATCACTAAAGTGTCTCGGCTCAAGAACTTAGGTACAAGAGGAGAAGGTCATGAATTGACCACCCCAGTCGCCCAATCAAAGATCGCCCTCTACTAATCATGATGTGATTTTTATTTACATTATATGCTCTCATTCCAATTTATTAGGCTAATTTGCAAAAATTGGAACATTTGATTTGTGTTTGTTTGAAAATTGTTTTTGACTATGTACCACTTGAAAAAATGAGCTTGTATGTATATTCATCAAATATCCCAATTTAAACAATTAGCCTTCATCCATAGGCATTCAAACATGTATATCATCTAAGCATTTAGCCTCATGGAAAGCATACTCGACATGGCAACAATCACATGCAATGCGAGATGCTAAAGCAATAAATCGCTCACCTAGTACTCCAAGGCAAGCCAAACAAAGCAAAATAATTAGAAAATATGCATGCTCCTAAATGATACAATGTGACTAATGCAACACACACATTTATGCCACTTTTATAGGCTCGGCTATGAGCATGATATATGATCCAATTCAAGACATGTGATAAATCACGTTTTCAAGCAATGAAATTGAATTTTGACATTGGTTAGTATGATGAGCTAAACCCAAATGTATGTGAGACGAGTGTAGTGTATGCAAACATGAGAATGCTAAGTAAACATGATGTTCAATGCTACCATCATAAGTAGGTAAATAAAAGGGAGAAAGAAATAGTGGTTAGAAGACATGCACGTAATTACATATTTTGCCCTCGTCAAAAGGGTCCGAATGAGTGTCCAAGTATCCAAATTAAACTAATTATTACAAATTCAAATGAATACCTAACTAGATATCTAACTTATTACATCAATAATATCACAACAATAACAACAACAACAACAACAACAATCATAATTACAACAATTATATTTAAGATAAATAACAATAAGAATGCACAAAGATCGTATGCGCGTTAATGAAGGCAATGTTCAGAGACTGCTTTGTCTGCCCAGACTGCTCTGTGTACCATATATTGGGGCCCAACCGGCTCCTAATGAGGCCCGGCCAGGTCCAAAAAAAGGTCGATCGTGCCCTAATTTCTTGTAAAAATCTGTTTTTGTGCTCTGGGGTGAAAATAGTGCAGACAGAGCAACTTTAAACGATGTGTATCCCTTTTGCTCTCTTCTATCATGAAACTCAAGAGAAGAGTGAATTTGAATCCAAAACCATCAATAGGCACAAGTTGATGGCTTGATGATTTCGAACACAATTTGGACAAAACAATTGATAAATGCAATGAAGACGACCACCTCTCTCTCTCATCATGGAAGCTCAAAGAGGGAGATAGACACGCGTCAAGTTTCGTCAAAATTTCATGGATTGATAAGTGACAATTCTTGAAACGATGGACTCGACATAACGTCCGGCCGAATCCAACCAATTTTATTCATCTTCTTTATGTTGGTTTCATTCTTTTTAAACCAATTCTAGCTTTTTTGACTTACCTTTCCAAGGTGATATTTAAGTACACTAAATAAAGAGATATGTCAAACGAGAAGTGATCCATAGCATGAAAGAGAGACTACACATTGACGATGAACCTCCATAGAGATTAAGCCGTTAAGAATAGATCTCTTTCTCATACCTTGAATAACAAGCACTTGTTTGAAATAGCTCTCGAACAAAAGAAAAGAAGAAAGAATGGAGGGTGCAGAAATGATTATGCGAAGTTGATTTTTTAAAATGAAACTCTTTGCATGAAAACTAAGTAAATAAAGCTATCAACTAAAACGATTCGGTGTCTAAGGCCTAAACAATTAAAGCCATGAGGACTTACAACACAACAAGTATGATATTCAAAGCATAAACCATTTAAATGGATTAAACAGCCCATAGCAACCCCTAAAATTTGGGAGGGGGGGAAGAAGTAGCTAAAAGCAAAATAAAGTAAGTAAAAAAAGTAGAGAAAAAGCTATGGAACAAAGCCTAAGGAAGGATGACTAACGCCTCCACTTTTTGCAATTTTAAATAATATATTTCAGCCCCAAAATAACCCAAGAACAGTCCCAAAACAGCCCAAAAACAGTGCCTAAAAGTGTGTTTCAAGAGTACAAAAAGATAGACAAAGGCAAAAAATATAAAGCTAGTAAGTAAAATCAATGAGAGGTGGCTAATCCCTGGCAAAAAATATAAAGCTAGTAAGTAAAATCAATGAGAGGTGGCTAATCCCTCTACTTTTGAGACTTTTAAACCATATTTTTTAGCCTTTTTAAACTCAGAAAATCAGTGTAAAAACCAAAGAAAAGAGTGCAAAAACAAAAGGTATGAGCTATGGGATAAGGTGCAAGAAGGGGTATTAAGCCTTTCTACCTTTGGTAACTCTTCAATCCCAAGTTCCAACACTTGAAATGGATCCAAAACAGTAGGAAAACACAAGAAAAAGATTGAAATGAAAGCATGGAAAAAGGTGACAAGCTTATACCTCTTGAAGAGAGCAAGCTTTGGTTGTTGATCAAACTTAATTCCAAACACCCTCAAGTTCATGAAATATGGTTTGAAACTCTAGTAAAAAGCTTCAAGAACAAGCTCTAATGGTATATGTATTGTGTATGTATTGTTCAAGAATGTTTGAAGATCAAAGGAAGCAAGGAGAATGGTTTTAGTTCTCAATCTCCCTCAAAGCCCTTAGGAAAATCTTCTAACCTTAAAATCTGAATGCAAGGGGTCTATTTATATAATTTGAGCTAATTTGCTCGATAATATCTTCAAAAAACAACAGCTAGCTAATTCCCGCCAACTGTCCTATTTCTCGCCATTAAGACCCGGCTGGGCCCCAAAACACACGGCCAAGCCTAAAAAGAAACTCTAGAAAAGTTTTCATTGAGACCCGGCCGGGTCTAAATGGGGCATGGCCTGTTCTAAATGGACTCGGCCAGGTCCAAAAGACTGTTTTTCAGACCCGA